GTGCCCTTTTATGGGGATTGGCGGGTGTTGCAGTCTCGCGCCCTTTTATGGGGATTGGCGGGCGTTGCAGTCTCGCGCCCTTTTATGGGGATTGGCGGGCGTTGCAGTCTCGCTGCCTTTTATGGGGATTGGCGGGCGTTTCAGTCTCACGCCCTTTCATGGCGATTGGCAGGTGTTGCAGTCTCACGCCCTTTCATGGGGATTGGCGGGTGTTGCAGTCTCGTGCCCTTTTATGGGGATTGGCGGGCGTTGCAGTCTCGCGCCCTTTTATGGGGATTGGCGGGCGTTGCAGTCTCGCGCCCTTTTATGGGGATTGGCGGGCGTTGCAGTCTCACGCCCTTTTATGGGGAGAGGCAGGTATTTACCTATGCTAATTAGGAACAACCGACACATGCTTTCAATTTACAGGGTAAATAGGATCCAACGTTCAGTGAACACATTTGCGAACAATTCTGTGGTTTTTAGAACACGCCGCGAATCTGACGTATACTTTTCGTAGAACTTAGGATGATACTGGTGAATGAGACCCAGTGTTCAGCAGTCCTCTGCGGCTGTCTTCTGCTCAGACGTGTTCTCAGTTATCAATTAGGCTCAGCTGTTCCATGAATGAATTACATAATTAAAATCACGCCTCTTCGAAAGCATTAACTGGAAACTTCAATTTTCCAGATTTGTTACACTAAATCATTAACAGGGAAACTGTATTATGAAAAATGATTTAATGCTTCCAAAAATATTTGGCCCTTACAATGAATGTGTTCTTTTTTAAAATCAATCAAAGGTTACATATTCAAAATCCATAATTTTCCAAGGACTGATACAATTGAACATAATAAATAAGAAATATTTTTTAGTGTGATTCAAAAACAACTCAACTAACTTATTTGGTAACATGAGTTAAATTACGAGATGCATAGAATTTGTCTTAGTTGCAACGTATTAATTAATTACCTAATACAGATTTAGAAATATTAGAACAAAGTGAAATTTTGACACAAACATTGCTTCAGTGTGACCCCCGTGACCTCGGCACAGACTCCTGGCCTCATTCTGCTGACCCAAGCCTCTGAGGGACAGCCAGCATTAGACCTCACAGACAGACATTCAGAAACGTAAAATGCTTTTCAATAAACCCACACGATGATAAAATATTGAATGATGGAAGAAAATGAATGAAGAGCTCAGCCACAGTGAGCCGTGCTTCCCGTGCTGGGAGGTAACAGGACAGCAGCCTTAAATAACAGCCAGACTTCCTGACACAGCTGATGGCCACACCAGTGACAGGACGGCACGAAGCAGCCAGAGTTCGTGGGAGTGATGAGAGGCAACACCTTCATTTGAAGGAACATGACTGAGGGAACAACAGGGCCGGCCTCGCATGATGGGATGCGTAGGCGGCAGGTGTTCCCACCTCGGGTCAGTGGTCTCGTTGCCCTCAGGGAGAGCGGTGCCCGATTCCCCACATGCGAATGTAACCAGCAAACACCCGACTCCTCTGTCTGCAAATAAAAAAAGAAATATCTCCTAGCAACACTCAGCTGTGAGAAACAGGACTGACAAACATGGTCCCGCGGGTATTAAAAGGAACACAGATTTTCTGTTAGGAACGGGTGCGCTTACTGAGATACGCTATCAGCATCTGCCGTTTATTCTGGTGAACAGGCACTAATGACTAAAGGAAAAATGCCGTGCGCCCGTGTTATCTAACAGGAGAAGCTTCACGCGATGACACCCTTCTGTGGCCAGATGCCAGATGATGTGTTTCTGCCCACGGGAGTCACTGTGACGAGGGCACTTCGTGAAATGTGACACGCCGCAGCCTTTTACAGCGCGGCGCCTTCACGCTGCTCCCGAAGGAAGCAGAGAGCGGGCTTCAGTGCTGGCGGAAGCAGACGGGGGTTTGATTTGAGAGCTTCAGTCTGTATTAGGAAGCATCCCCTTTGGAAGTGATCAGAGAGGAATCCCAAAGTGGGAGCAGAGGGAAAGAGTCCTCTCCTGTCTTTCTTCAGAGGGGGTATCTGCTATTTGGACGTATTTTTTAACGTGGAGCAAATATGCTTTGAATTCTTATTTTGATCTTTCCGCTTTTAGATCTTAAGTTCCACCGAGAAAATATGCTGATCATCAAATATACACAAAAAAAATTCACACCTGAAGTGCAGTACGATCGGATAGATGCTCACGCCCCGGTCCCCAAAGGTCACCCGGGAGGGAGGTGCTGTCTGTTCCCTCTGCTAGGCTCCGCCTCCTCCCGCATCGCTGGGTGCTCAGATGCTGAGATGGGTCTTTAACCGGAGTAATGTGACGTGAGAGAGAAATTTCCGGATGCTGGAGCTGGGCATGTCATTTCACAGTCCGTCTTCGTTCTCGGGGGACTCCATACGCAGCGGAACAGGGCGACTTGCTCAACACCCAGCCTTAGTGCTGTTTAATTTCCTTCCACTAATCACAAGAATAATTAAGCAAAAATACATAATCATTTTCAAAACTTCTTCCACTTTACTGGACAAGTCGAACACATAGAAATCACTTAACGGTACGGCAAAGTCAACTCAGAGGCGAAATTCAGAAGCAGCGTGTTTTCCTGAGGCTTCCGAGTCAGGGTGATGTCATAAGCGGGTCACGGGAGCATGCTGGACACGGGGAATCCTCAGTGCCAGGCCCATCCTGTCAGCCAGCATGTCACATCTCTCCTGCTAGGACTCTGCTAGTCGCAGAACAGCCACACTTTCCTGCCCAAAATCCCTGCAGAGAAACTTGCTTTGGGCAGATGACACTCGTCTAAAAAGGGCTCATCAGCACTGTGTTCTCTGACCAGCAGGGGACAGTGTCTGCACCCCACACACCACTTTGCAGGTTGGGCTCCCAACGTGCGACTTCCACCCACCTGGATTCCGCACTGGGACACGTTGCTCCACGTTGGGACAGCAAACCCTGACACAGACTTCACCGAGAAACCTTTCAGCCACGACCATGACATTCCACAGAAGGATACCGTGTGTTCTTCCCATGACAGGTCCCAGGAGGCTGGACAATATTCCGGAATGTTCATGTGACAGTGTATGCATCTTTGTGTGTTTGGGTGTGAGTGTGCACTCACATGGCAGGGCTGAAATATTGCCCCCCCCCAGTCCCTAGGTGCCCATTACCTACCTACAGCAGTAAAAGTTCATGTTCAGATCTAGCCCCCCCCCCCACCATCAGGAATTTAGCTGCAGGCAACTGGAGACTCGACCTCAGGAGAAGCGTGGATTATGGCAGCAGAGCCAGTGCAGGGAGCAGACAGGGAGAGGAGAGAACAGGCAAGAGGAGGAGAGTGGTGAAGAGGAGAAGGGGAGCAGGCAGGAGGAGGAGAGTGGGGATGAGGAGAAGGGGAGCAGGCAGGAGGAGGAGAGTGGGGATGAGGAGAAGGGGAGCAGGCAGGAGGAGGAGAGTGGGGATGAGGAGAAGGGGAGCAGGCAGGAGGAAGAGAGTGGTGATGAGGAGAAGGGGAGCAGGCAGGAGGAAGAGAGTGGGGATGAGGAGAAGGGGAGCTGGCAGGAGGAGGAGAGTGGGCTTGAGCAGAAGGGGAGCAGGCAGGAAGAGGATGAGGAGAAAGGGCATGAGGAGAAGGGGAGCAAGAAGGAAGAGGAGGAGAGAGGGCAGATCCCACATCCCTGTTCCCTTCACCTCCCTCCAATCATCAGCTTCCCCTCTCACCTCACATCCAATCAACATTCTTTCCTATCGGTTTGCATTGTATCCAGCCATGCAAGACTACACATGCACTTCAAAACACTTATAAACCATCCAGGATTTACATGCCAGGTGAATAAACAAGCCATTACACAGGCTATGTATGTAATGGGATCTTATAATAGTTACCTGTGCAAAGCGCTATGTGGCTTAGTGCCACCGGGGGGCATTAAGGTATTTCTGTGGTCGTTAGGGACAGGAACAGACCTATGGCCATCAATAAATCAGCTCCATGCCTCCCCAGGTCTAATACGCAGCATCTGGATGCTCTCTGGGTACAAGGGACACCAGACACATGCCCTCGATGGCACCTCTGGGACTTTCCACTCCACTCACCAAGGGCACCTTCCCCCCCACCCCAGACTGCCCAGAAAATGATGGCTAGGTGAGCCGTCAGCGTGGTTGCCAGATGAGAAACCTGTCGATGGCACCCGCACTGTGTGACGGGTGACAGAGGTGACAGCTAGAGATCACAGCCATGGCAATAGCTGGTGCCATCCAAGCACAGTGCCGCGTGTGGCATTTACAGTGATTAGATTGTTAAAAAGGCAATGCAGACTGAGGAGGCCAGGTTTAGTGGACAGAGTAACGCTGGGAGGGTGTCTGATGTAGAAATGTGGTCGAAATGTCAATGATCCCAATTACAGGAGTTTAATGGCAAGAGATAAGTGAGGATACATGAAGCTATTTCGCATTAAACAACCTTAAATAATAGTAATGTGATGTAATGATGATCTAATTGGCAAAGCATAAATATCACATTATCATGAATATAACCATTCTTAACTGCCTAAAACATGTAATTGAAAAGATCAGAAAGCTTTAAAAAACTAAACTCAAAGTATTAAAAGAGTGAAAGTGGCTGATATACGTCTCAGGATCAGTTCTGACGTTGCTCTCCTGGAAAACAACGGGCAAAGAATCCAGCCGTTCAAATCGGTAAAAGTTTAAAATGCTTAAGGGATAAAGTACAGTCATAGATATAATAACAAAAGATGGCAGAGATGCCAAAGAAGATGTCAGAAACATGAAGAAACATACAGCAAGATACAGTAATGGAGGACAAACGCAGTGTCAAGTACCTTAAACGCCAGGCAGGGAGGGGGCAGAGCTGGAGAAGGTGAGAGCCACCAGCAGGAACGTGGGGCTGGTCCTGAGGCAGACCTGGCAGAGCCTCACCCTCACTCACACAAGCTCCAAACCGCCCTGGCGTCTGGATCACTAAGGCCTCTCTCCCTCTCTCTTGCTTTTAATTCCTCTTCTTCCCCTAATCATTTATTCTCTTCTCATGGGAGCGAATACATTATTCTCACAGAGAAGAATGAGACACTCCTCCTGATAGTCGAGATCAAATCTATGTCCATGTCAGCAGCCCTACGCCTCAGATTAATCATTACAGATTTTTCTTCTCCACACATTTGTCCCTGATTGGCTGCCTCTGTCAACAGCTGCACGCTGATAGATCACCTGTACAGCGGGTCGACAAACCTGTCTTATATCTCAGGAGTAGTGGAGCAAACAAGGACCTAACCGAGAGAAGGGAAACTAAATATTTTTGCTCTGAAACGGCTCCGGTGCTGGCAGGCCCACATACTTTGCCTAGAATAGATAAGCCTTGGTTTATTTATACGAAAACAAGCACCCTCTCGTTTAGAAGATGCCACTGCGGCTGACCGCAGAAGACAGCTTACAAATGAATTAACGGGATTGCATGTATACCTCAAGAGCACTCTGATTCAATTTAGGAACCCAGCCGCGCTGAACTCGAACACAATTTGTGCAATATCTGTCAGGAGTAAAATTTTAATCTTATTAATGTGAACTAGTGCGACAAACAAATTCTGATTTGTGTATTTTTTCCTCAGTTACATATGGGGATTTCATTCCGCACACACAAAAGAGATCTCCCCTTCCTTACAAAACTGAACTGAGAAGAACACATACGATTCCATAATAAATAACCCCAAAGTATTAGGTCGTCGGTTCAGCTATTCAAGTTGTATTTTTCTGTTGTTCTTTATAGTTTGTCAGCCTTGTAAAAAGTGAATTAAACCCCGTCCAACCCACAGGTGTGCATTATAAAATACATCGGCGGTGTGAGCATCATCGCCATGTGGTGGAACTCTGCAACACGACGGCTGAACCGGACTGTGACCTTGTGAGGATGCAGCAGAAGCCAGATGAGTGTGTTTTAATTGGTGCTCGCTCGTCCCTGCTGCCAAACGCCTTCCCTCGTCTGACTGCAGGGTGACCTAAGGTCAGACACCAGTCCTCACATTTCAAGCTCACAATGGCTGCCTTAAACTATGGACTTGCTGTGAACAATGAATTACACAGCTAGTGTAACCTATCATTCCAGTGGAGCTATCACATCGTAGAATACATAGTGTGGTTTACAGATGCTAAAAATCGATCCTGTTATTTAAGATGTGTAGCTGTGATCCTTCAGATTAGACAAGCTTTACCCTCTTCTGCAGCAGGAGAATGACCATGTGTTTGTTATTTTTGCACCATTATAATTTACCATCATCTACATGGGTATTCCGCTCAGAAGCCTCAATCTCATACATCTCCTGATCTGTCACCACCTACATGTATTCCCCTCGTTCCCGGCTGAGCTATAACCGCGTACATGTGCTCCCCTCGTTCCCGGCTGAGCTATAACTGCGTACATGTGTTCCCCTCGTTCCCGGCTGAGCTATAACTGCGTACGTGTGTTCTTAAATTCCTGGCCAATCACACCGCTCTGGTTTATGGAGTGTCTGACTCACACAGTGATGAGGCACACTCACTTTGGCACGAGCGGGCGGGTCACTGAGACACTTAACGCCCGCTGCCAAACTGCATTCCACTTCCTTATTACCACCTTGGCTCCAATTCATCAGGCTGTGCCTCTGAGGCTCTGTGCGGGGATCTGGCTGCACTCAGCACCAAGAAGTGGGCTTTAAAAGCGGCACATCTGACGTCTGTACCTCACACTCTCCCTCTAACTGGCCCACTTTGAGTCATTCAGGAGAAGGATAAGCACCAAACACACACAAAGACGCTTAATTAGAGGAAGAAGGCCTACCTCATGAGATGATAGCTATATCAGAGGTACTTGGTCTTTGCACTCGTTAATGAAGAACCTGAGAAGGCTCCATCTGTTTCTGGGTCTCAGGCTCACAATCCAGGCTCCTCCTGCCTCGTGTTAGACTCATTTCCACGTGAGGCTGTGTTACTCTGCATCAAAGCCAACATCTGGTCCCACAGATTTAAGTCGGATATTTAAGTAAAATTATTATGAAATGAGAGAAGTCTAGAGGAAAAGTAGTTAATTAATTTAAAACTTAATACTAGTAAAGTTCGACACAAAGACTAGTAATCCTTACTGGGGGTGCGGTGTTCAGGGATATTATAGTTATTTATGGCTCAAGGTTTTAAAACTTCTTGCCTGGAGACCCCTCCCCCCAAAAAAAAACATTGGTCAACTCTTGTGACCCCTTTCGGTGCAATAAAATTTGCTATCAGTGTGTCACTCAGCGCCGGGGTAAGGGAGAGTGCAGTGGGCTGGGCCCAGCAGCACACATGGGAGCAGGAGGCACTGTTTCATATGGAGACTCGATAAGTCGGGATACTTCACAGGGTTCTGCAGGTCCTCAGACTCCAGGGTGTCATCTGCAAACATGGATACATCTGAAAACAGGGTTACATCTGAAAACAGCTACCTCACCGTAACATCAGAAGCAAAAACGCCACCCAATGCCGCGGCCTGTCTGACTGCTTTAAGTCCTCAGCGGGTCGCTGTGAATGCATGTTGTCATGAGCTGACGATTTAAATCTGCACAATGTCTTTAAGATGGCTGATTAATAATGAATGCGAGCCCCCCCCACGTCCCCGTGGAAACTGAGCTGAGATCTTGCAGGATGCACCTTCACAAAAAAGCAGCACATCAACCCCCTAACCATCAAATGCACTACACCCCACCAGCTCTGCAAGTGTGCATACATCACATGCGGCAACCCCCTCCTGAATAATTCAGGGGTTAACTATTCCTCCAGCTGCGTTTCTATAGCGCTCGCCAAAGTGCCTTCAGAGCCCTGAGATGTTCCTCTACGTGAGACACCACCCAACCACCAGAGGCAAAGATTCTTCCTTCTCCTTCCGGAAACTGCACACCACAGCAGCATCAATCTAACCAGTGACTTAAAGTGTGTGATAACACTGAGACACCAAACCAGCTTGCAAAGACTGGAGGTGACTACCTGAAGTGATCTTTTAGGGTTAGGAATTCTGCTGCTCAGCACTGCCTGACGGGGCCTGAAGTGAAACTCTGCCCTATCTCTTCCCTTGACCAATTAAATTAGCTCAATCTCTGTGGAAATAGTACATGGTACTGGAACACTGGAGATGTATTTTATTGAGCAAATGGCAAGTTTCCTTATACACTTGGCCCTGGGAGGCTCATTTGGTAGGCTCCCATGAGATGTCAGACACCATCATGCATCACAGCGCCATCCGCAGGACTGGAGGTCCCTGCGCGGCAAGAAAAGAGGCAGCGGGAGGCAGGGCATGTGAGCAGAAGAGCACGTTCACATCCATGACAAGAGAATGTGACAGCGCACAGCGGCCGAGGCCAGGAGGCGGTCAGATGGGCGGAGGGGCTGAGGGCTCACACAGCCTTCGGAGGCACCAAGGAGGCACACAAACAAGGGCTTCTGCCTGGAGCCACTGAAAGCGCTTCCAGCAATGCAGTGCAGATGCTTCGAGTCTGAGGCCTGGGATCCTCGTGTGATTCAGCTTCGTCAACTTCTCCACAGTTTTGGATTTCACCTCCGTGGAAGTGAAGCATGGATAATGTGAGGGATAGTAAGTTGCTTCTAATCTTAAACCTGTCAAGGCAAAGACAGATACAAAACGACATGCATGAAGATAAAAGATGTACTAAGTAATGTGATCACCAGCAAGCCAACAGGACACCCAGAGACCTCTGCACCACCTCTGTTCAAAAGGGCCTCACATAGGTCATACTGGCTGTAGAGGTGGAATGCTTAAAAATCAGCTCTGGAGTTTGTCAGAACGATCTTCTGTTCTGCGATAAGCTGCAGACAGGGGACTCCTGCCCCAAAAGCAAATCCGCAGGGGAGCCAGAGTGCCACCCTCCCCTGTGTTATTCAGCTGTACAGATGGCGTCTCTCAGTCAGAAATGCTTCTTTGTGACATGAGTATTCCTTGCTCTTGCTTTAATCTCAGACTTACCTCACAGCAGGTTTCCATTTAGGATCCACGCTACAAAGGTCCATCGCAGGTGGAATCTAAAGCATTAGCACTGCAAAAACATTGTCAGAGTACCATTAACCATGTGGAGGAATGTTTTATTTAGCCAGGAACAAGCTCATAAACTCCCATAACAGCACTGAAGGCAAACTAGCAAAGCGTTTGCAATGTTAGGGATCATTAGGGCCAACCCATAACTACACCCCCCCCCCGCCAACATAAACACATCTTAAAACTCATCTTGGGAGGACCCTCCCTCTGGTGAAAGAATAAGCCATGTTGCCTGTAGCTCCGCCCATGGTTGGAACAATCGG